ACCACGTTCGTTTGAACTGTGCATAAAGTAAGATCCATGCATGCTGAGCATGGTGCCAGAAAGCTTGAGTTTCATGTGGTTTTGTGCTCCTTAAGGACAGGCTGCAGGCCGGAGCACAGGCATAGTGCCCGCATGCCGCGAGCCTCTGTAAGAGTTTACAGAATCAGCGGCATCTGTCACGGGCGACTCAGGCTTCCTCCAAAGCTCTTAGCTTTTCTCTGGATGGTTATGGTGAAGGGGCTTCTGGATAAGGGGCATGGCTTGTTAAAAATCACTTGTGCAGTGACTATGCCTTCACCATAACCAGCAAAGCCTGTGATAGTTGAGCGGGCCCCCACTGGCAGATGGGGCAGTGCTGGGAGCTCAGTGTGGTGTCCTTGTCCCAATACTCTGGGTTCTGCTGTACTTGGTGGGGGGCCTGAGGTCCTGTGATGTTTCCCTCCAGTGGCAAACCAGAGGCACCCAGGGACACCCAGTAAGGGGCATCTTGCTTGTCCATTTTAGACTTCTCCTCCTGTCTTCATTCATCATTCATTTAACTACTCCCTTCCCCACCCCCGCCAGGGTGGCTGTGCCGAATCTTGTCTGTCTGCTCCCAGGTCATGCACCATTCATGCCTCCATCCACCCAACCAGCAGTTCCCATGCCAGGCTCTGTGCTAGCACTGGGGATTCAGCTGTGGGCAAGACTTGGTCCTCAACGGGATTCTTTTTTGGTGGCGAAGACTGACACTGAAGAAATAAACAACTCAACAGACAAGGTCATTGCTGCGAGTGAAAAGTACAGAAAGAAAAACAGAAAAACACAGAGGGTGCCGTGCTGGAGAGGAACGGAGGTCAGGGTGGTCGCTAAGTGAGGGACCGGGGAGCAGGCCTCCTTGAGGAGGGGGCCCTTAAACTGAGGCTTAAAAGATGAGAAAGAGAGCCTTGGAAAGAGGAGGGTGGGTCAGGGAACAGCCAGGCTGGAGGCTCCGAGGTGGGAAGAGCGAGGCCTGGCTGAGCCGCAGACAAGGGTCCCCGAGGGAGAGCAGGCAAGAGCAAGCAGAGGACAGTGAGCGGGCACCCTTGGCTTTGACTGCAGTGGAAGCTGCAGCCAGCTTTGCGCTGGGCAGTGGTGTGGTCCAGTCATTGTCATGTCCATTCTTGTTGCTTGTTGGGGAATGGATTGGGGGGCAAGTGTGGAAGTGGGGGAGCCAGTGAAGTGGCTGCTGCCACAGTCCCCATGCAAGACTCAGGTGCCATGGGGTGGGCTGGGGGTGGCAGTGGAATGGAGAGAGGTGCATGGATTTGGAGGTACAATCAAGGGACTCAGGGACCGATGCACTTGGGGGTGAGGCACAGGGAGGCCTCAGAGGGCCCACACTCCATCCATGCTGCTTTACTGTACACACAGCTCACACCCCTGTAGCTGGACAGTTTTCAAGTCCATGACCAGGTGGAAGCAGCAGAATGAATACAAGAGGAAGAAAAGGGCTGTTAGGCTTTGGTTATAACAACTACACATTTGGTGATGCCATTTACTGAGAAGGGGCTAGAAGAGTCCGGTGTGGCTGGAGCCTGATGAGCAAGGGGGAGGGTCTTGGTACTGGTGGGAGCAAGTCGGGGCCATACAACGTCCCACTTTGGCTGTGATAAAGTTGAGATGCCCATTAGGCCTCCAAGTGGAGGTGCCCAGTAGGATGTATGGTTCTGGAGCCCTGCACAGTCTGGCCAACACACTGGAGCCCAGAAGCTCCGCTCGACGTTCAGCCTCTGAGGACCCTCAGGACCCTGGCTCGCCCTGCTCCCACATTCCCTGCCATCCCCTCCACTGAGAACACCCCACTGTGCTGAATTCTTCCCAGAAGGTGAAGCACCCTCCCATCCTGGTCCAGAGCACCTCCCAGCCCTGCTCTGAGCAGCAGGCTGGCAGTGCTGGTCTTCATTTCACAGAGGAGGAAACTGAGGCTCAGAGGCCAGGGGCAGGGAGCAACTGACCCCGGGTCATACAGACAATGAGTACTGTGCTGAGAGCTTTCTCTGAATTTGTCACCATAACCCTATGAAATTGGTATCCTCAATTTGTAGACAGTGAAACTGGGGCTTAGAGAGGTCTGTGACTTTCTGAGGTCTCACAGCCAGTGAGGGGGAATCATGAGGTTATGCGCGTCAACTGCTGCTGTGCTGAAGGACTAGAGACATGCCTAGTTCCAGAGACGCTGTTCCTCGACACTTAACATCTCAGGTCCAGGCAGCCCCTGGCTCTCCAGAGTTCTCTGACTGGCGAAGGACTTCGTGACCAGGAAGGAGACTGCCCTGCTGGACTTCCTGCCCCAGGCCCAGTGGGAAACGCTGATGTGGTAGCCTGATGCCCCCCACAAAACTGTGGCCCATGGAGCTGAAAGGTCTGGGCTCTGATTCCTGGGGAAAGTCTCCACATGTGTCTGAGCCTCGGTTTCCTCATCTGTGAAATAGGAATAGAAGCACTTGTTCTTTCCACCCCCGGGGCTGCTGGAAGGGTCCAGAGAGAAAGCCGAGAAAGCACTTGGGAAGTCACCAGGGCCATGTGGGTGTCAGATGGCATTGTCCCCCCTTAGGCCAGGCAGTGTGTCAACGGGGGGCGAGAGGGGCAGCCTGTGGGGGCTTTGCCCGGTCCGTAAGTGCTCCACCCAGGCGGACACCCTGTGTCGGGGCGAAAGCATGCCCCCTAGTGGGAGTGGCTATGGTTGCTGGGGCCGCAGGAGTGGGGGTGGAACAGATGCTGAAGGAGCAAGGTTGGACTAGGAGGGCAGGAGTGTTGCTTTTGCTTGATTGCTCTGTTTCCTGAATATTTAATAGATGCACAAGGGTAGCAACAGGAGAGGGAGAAGCTGGAAATTGATGCTGTAGAGCTTGTCTGTCTCCAAAGCTTCTGCTGACCGTGCTACAATCTGCTGTAGATGTTTCCCCAGCGAGGGGGCATCATGGGGGACCTACTAAGTGCCAGGGCTGTTCCTTATCCCCCAGCAAGACAAAGGAGTCCAAGTGGCCCACATCTCCAGCAGCCTCCCAGCAACTGTCTCCTCCCAGGCTGGGTCTCCTGGCTTGAGGGCCGTGCTCTCTGTGGGGTACCAGCCAGCCTAGGGGTGGCCATGAGCCACAGAGAGAGCCCCCCACAGGCCTCCTTGTGGGCCTTATAATCCCTACACGCCTTGGTGGTGGCCTCAGTTCCCTGCCTTGATTCTTGCTCAGGCCTGTGGAATGAGCTTGAATGCACAGTGTGGGGGGGATTCCAGCAGGGGCACCTTGACTCTGACTGAGAGCCAGACCCTGGGGGGAGTCTCCCTCGTGCAGAGAACAGCAGGTCTCTTTGTCCTGTCTAAGGCTTGTCTCTGGCGCCCTCTTCGTTTGTCTGCTGATACTTTCATGCATTTTAATAGATATTTATTGAGGGCTACCTTGTCAACTTTGGCACTATTAGCATTTTGGGCTCTATAACTCATTGTGGGGGCCTATCCTGTCTACTATAGGATGTTTAGCAGCCTCCCTGGTCCCACCCACCAGATGCCAGCAGCAACACCCCTCCTCTCAGTTGTGACAACCAAAAATGTCTTCAGACATTGCCAAATGTGTGCCCTGGTTGAGAACCACTGACCTAAACCCTGCCATTTGCCAGTTTTGAGACTGACCCCATTCCTGTTTCTTGCCCCCTCGGGCAGAGCTGGCTCCGGGCAGGCCCCTGCTGCAGGTGAGGTTCCCAGAAATGTTCGCCCTTCCTGGTCCCCTGCCTGCTGCACCTGCCACCTCTCCCAACTGGCCTCTTTGTCCGGAGGCCTGCTCACCTTCCATTCTTCTACCTGGATACTTGTGGCCTGGGACAAGATACATAGGCTCTCTGTGCCTCTGTTTCCCCATCTGTAAGTTAGGGATAATAATAGTACTGTGTCCACCTCGATAGGCGTGTGAAGAGTAAGATACTTCGTATGTATAAAATACTTAGCAGAGTTCTGGGCATGCAGTAAGTGTGGTATGTGTCATTTTTAAATCAGCAAATACTGATATTTGTTGTGTTAAGCTGGGGATGTGGTGACGAACAAGACAAAGGCCCTGACCTGGGATCTTAGAGCTCATGAGGCAGGCGGACCCCTCCTCCTGTGATTTTGGTTCGTTGCAGTAGGCGCTGGGGTGGGGAAGCACAGGAGCAGAGGGAGCCAGCGGGACTCCACTGGGGGGTTAAAGAAGGAGGGCTTCCTGGAGGAGGTGGTATCCCAGCTGGGTCCTGAAAGATGAGTGTGAGTTACCTGGGTGAAGGAAGAGGAGGAATAATTGTCTGGGTTCTGACAAAACAAATCCCACTTAATGGGCTGTAATAGACAAATCATGTCAAAGGATCCTGGGTTCACCTGTCTGTTGGGAAACCACCCTCTCTGAGATACCTGATGCGGAAGTGCTTGGCACACATGAGGATAGATGTCTAGTAGGGGGGCTTAATAGCGTGGAGGGGACCTGCTCACCCTCTCCCCTGCCCCCACACAGGTGCATATGTAGGTAACAGTGGCCTCCTAGCTGTTTCCTGTCGTATGAGTGTTGGGGCCTGGTGGGAGGGGAGAACAGGGAGGCAGGGTGGGGTGGTGGGGGAAAGAAAACAGAAAACAGACTCTGAGAAGGGTAGAGCGGTTGTCTTTCTCAAGAAGAGTTCATTCCGGCTCACCTGCATGTCCACTGGGGGCACCAGGACAGCTCTGCCTATCGTGGTGTCTCAGAGCCAGACTGATGGATCATTCCTCTCGCCTGTACTCCTGTGATCGCCCCAAGGGGAGAGAATGTGGTGGAACGAGCTTTGCAAAGGGCACATCGATGGTTAAAGCTTGCGTGCCATTGGTTGAAGTCAGGTACCTGGCCTCAGGTGTCCAGGAAGTGTGATCCTGCTCAGGATGGGAGGTGGTGACCAGCACTGAGGAATCTGCACCCCCTACACTGTGGTGTCCAGGGCAATGGGCCAGGCTCCCGGTGATGATGTGTGTTATTTCTCTTCCCGCACAGCTACAGCCTCCGCCTGGCATCCCGATGTCCTTCATCAACGGCCGCGTATGTCACCAGGCAGTGTAGGAAGGTCAAGGCTCCGGCTGCAGCCCACTTCCAGGGACCCTTCTTCAAAGAGTAGACTCTTCACCTGCTCCCTGACAGGTACGAGGCAGGATGGAGCATCTTCTGGCACTGTTTGGGTGGCTCTTGGAACCTGGGGCTAGGGTCTTGAGTGGGGTGGGAAGAAGAGAAAAGGGTGGGCATGATGCCTTGCCGAGCATTGCCTGTGTGCCAGGCATGGGCCTTCCTAAAGGAGGGTGCTTGGTGGCTGACAGTGCAGACTCTGAACCACCTGGGTTCAAACCTCAGCTCTGCCACTCACTGGCTGCAGGACTTTAAACAAGTTACTTAATCTCTCTGAGCCTCAGTTTCTATATCTGTAAAATGGCGACTACCATAGTGCCTCCTTCATAGGATATTGTAAGAATTCCAAGTGTCAAATGCATGCAAAGCACTTAGAACAATGCCTGGCACACAGTAAGTACTGGGTAAGTATTAGCCGTCATTATTGTAATAACGATAATAAATAGCAATTATACTCAGTTCTCAACTGAGACCTTCAGAGGCTTTAAGCCCAGAAAAGATTATGGAGTCCCTATTCCCACAATGTATTTGAAAGTAAAAATAATACTAGTTTGTAAAATATAAAACTTAGATCTATGTGGAAGCAAAATAGTCTCTTTCTAGGTTTTTTGATGGTAAAAACCTGGAAGCCAGACTTTTCATTTTTGGAGTGCCTGGGTTTTGCCAGTGACCCATGAGCAGACGCGGGCCTTCCTGTCGGTGACACAAGCACAACAGCATTCATGCTGTCCCCAAGGTTAGCATCCCAGCACATGATGAGAGGAAGCCCTGCATCAGAAGAGCTGGGGCACCAGTTATAAATACAGACCCCAGGGTCCCACTCCATGTTCACAAAACAAGCATCCTGCTGGGTGTGGCCTGGGAATCTGCAGTAGCAGGTGGCCCCGGAGTTCTGGGACACCCTCAGTTTGGGGGATGTCTACTTAAGGCAAGGCAGGGGATAGAGGACTAGTCAGAGTCGCTTGGAATGAGAATTTAGTTGTTCAAGGCAAGCATGGGCTGAATTCTGCAACTCTGGGGTCTTTTGTGTTATACCAGGAAGCAAAGGCCCTTCCTACCCTCTGCCTGTCCTCCCACCCAACAGCTCGCTCTCTTCTCCTTTCCTTGAGCAGTTGGACTGTCTGGGTTTGGCCTTATTCCTCTGGGGCTTGGGGAGGGCAATGGAAATAAAATCTACCCTCCCCAGAACTGAGCCCGTCTCTTTGGAACCTGCTCTTCCCTGACAGAGGACATGACCCTGAGCTAGGAATCCCCCAGAGCGAAGTTGAAATGGACTCTAAGATAGCACAGAACTGGGAGGCCCCGGGAGATGAACCCTCTCCTGCTCACATTTTACAGATAGAAAAATTGAGGTCCTGAGAGGAAAGAGTTGGCTCGAGTCTTTTGGAAAATGGGAGGCAGTGCCGGGATGAGCAGTTCCTGACCTGGGTCCCGTTTGTGTCCCGGGATCCTCCCTGTGGTGGTGGGCACGCAAGGCACGGCTTGCACCCTGGAGCAGGTGTTCTGAGGCTGAGCCAGGTGCAGCAGGACTGGGTTTCTAAACAGACTGGGCCGCGTCTGTGGGCCCTGCAGTCTCAGCAGTGACGCCAGCGGCTTGCACGCAGCGTTTGCCAAGCCTTACTCATCCGGGCTGTCCCCCGGGGCTGGGTGCCATCCTGGGTGGATGACGTCTTTTTCCTTGTCTTCCGCCATGTACAGCTTCCCAAGCTAAGTGCTCCGAGGACAGAGCCCGCTTAATTTGCGTCTGTAACTAACACTTCTGTCGGCTCACCAGGAATGAATGTTCTAAACTCAACAGTTTAATTTTGAAGTGACTGAAAATTGCTCCATAAAATCTTATTTAACTTTTTTCTGTTTTTTAAATTTGTGTTTTCAGAGCACGTGCTACTTACATGTTTTTAAAAATAATTTCTTAAAATATCTTTGTTATACTGTTTGCCTTAGTCTGCTCGGGCTGCCATAACAAAATACCACTGGCTGGGTGGCTTAAAAAACAGACATTTATTTCCACGTTAGCACAGGAAGGGAGCAGGTCAACACCCTCATTTTACAGAGAGGGAAACTGAGGCACAGAGGGGACAAATGGTAGATCTGGCATGAAAACTCTGCTCTTCTGGCTCCCACAATGGATGACGGACTTGAAATAGGCTGGGCCCCCTTCATGCAAACGTGTATGCGCACGTGGGCTTGGTTCTGAGAAGAGGATGGTGTTGTCAAAGGACGCAGGACCCACGGCTGGGTCCCTGCTCTTCCCAGTTAAAGGTTCTGTAACCAGCTTCTTGGGCAGATTGAACCTGTGGAGGAGGTGGTTTTCCTCCAGTCCCCACTGCCTCTGGCTCCTCTTCCTCCTCCCTTTCCCACGTGTCAGGCAGAGCCTGGAGTGTCCTGTTCACTGTCAGGTGTACAAAGTACCGCACCGCCTCGTCTGGTGTGAGCCTGCCCCTGCACAGCCTCCCACACCCCATCTCTTTCCTGCCCCAGGTGCTCAGGGGGGAGGTCCAGGGAGGGGACCAGCACCTCTCACTCTTCTGGCCACTATCGTGATCCTCCTTGGCTGTCACTGCTCCTTTGTCTAGGACCGGCTGGCCTCGGGGCCCCCTGTACAGGAGGCCAGGCTTCTCAATGCAGGCCCTCTTATGGGAGCGGAGCGGGGTGGGTGGACAGTCTGCCCCTGCCCTTCTCCCTGGTGTGAGAGCTCCCCTCTGGGACAGCCTCTTTCCACCTCCCCTCGGCTCCAGCCCCCAGTGATCGGTCACTCTGTGCCACGGCCCTTGCTGCCGAGGCCCCTCGCTGGAGGGCTGCCCTCTTGGGTGGGAGACTGGCAGGAAGACTTCTTGTATGGATCCCACGCGGCCCACGGGAAACCAACACGGGCTGGCCACACCAGGCTGAGAGGACGCAGGCTGCTCCATAGCTGGCCCCATCTCCACTCTCTCTACTCCCCCTGCTCCGGCTCATGGGCCGGGCAGACGGGCCAGCCTGCTGCAGAAGCCAGCATCTGCTGGGAAGGGGGACCCCTCTCTGGAAGGCACCTGCTCCACCTCAAGCAGCCCTTTCCAGCTCCATTGAGTTTTAGGGACTGGAATTGACATAGGTTAAGTGTAGGGTTTCTGGAATTGAATCCTGGCTCCAGACTTACTAGCTAACCCTTCGGTGGGTACTTCACTTCTCCGTGTTTTCATGGTATACTCAACAAATAGTTTAATTGAAAAAGAATTCAGTGGCAGCATGCTTGAACAGCTCACAGTAGGCACTGAACAAGTGGTCACCATGATCATTCTGATTTTTCTTTCCTCCCAGCACCTGAAGTGACCTGGAATCAGTGAAGCCAAAGGGACCGGCAGTCTGCCCTGCAGGGAGTACCGACCTACCCCAGTTGTGCAAGCCTGCGAGAGAAAGGGAGCACGTGTGCGTGTGTGTGTGTGTGTGTGTGTGTGTGTGCACGTGGGGATGCGCATGTGGTCTTCAGACAAGGGTCCTGAACCCCAGGGAGGCTGGAAGGCAGCCGACTCCACACCCCCCTTGGATGATACTTGGAAGCAGCCCCCGGGACCGTGGTGTGCAGCTCAGCCTTCCCGTTGGGGTAGGGCTCTCCTACTATGCAATTCTTCAAGAGCTCCTTCACCCTGCTTTCTGCTTCTTGAGTTGTCTTTTGCCATTGTGGGGACTTTGGTCTGGCTGGGGATCAGCTTCGGTCCTGTCTGAGGAAGGCCTTCAGGTGGAGGCCAAGTTCCCCTTCAGTAGCACCCCCGCTCCCCGCCTTCCCTCTCCCTGCAACATCTCTGGGAATCAATAGCATGTAGACACGCTGGGGCCGAGCCTGAACATCCCCCTTGGCCCCAGCACTTGGAAACCCCTTTCCTGGCCTGAGAAACCTGAGCTGATGGCTCTTGAGTCATTTCTAGATTTGACATTCTCATCGGTCCATTACTCTTGAGTCTTTGCAGTGAACCCCCAAAGAAGGTACATCCGGAAGAAAGACCTTGTCCCCATGTATAGATCTGGTCCCTCCCTCGGGAGCGGCAGACGTGGGGATGGTGTGTGGGGTGCCCTTCATCACCTCATGGTGGGACCATCTACACCGCTAGTGTCTGAGCTTCTCAAATTAGCTGCAAAGGGAAACAAAAAAATTGGGAAATGAAAAAAGTGGGAGGACTAAAAAGCACAGGGGAAAGAAAATAGATTTCTGGAGGCCATAAATCGCCTGCCGGGGGATGACAGGGCCGACTCCTGCTGTCTGGTGCACAGTCCATGTCTCAGAGACACGGGTGAGCCGAGCTCGGAGTTGGGACCCAGTTCAGGGAGGTTCTTGGGTTTTGTGCCTTTGGGACGGACCCCAGACAAGGATGTCTGAGACCACTTTGGTGCTGTTTTCTCAGCTCCGTTTTCAGTAGTGATGCATCAAACCCAAAGTGGCAGGAGGGAACACTGAAGAGGATGAGTTATCACACAATAAAAAAAGGGATTTTTTAATTTTCAGGGCTACTATGGTTGATCTTGCAACTCTGTAAATATGTATGTACACACTTTTAAAAGCACGTATTTATGTCTTTGACTGTAAATGCCCCGTTTTTAAAGTTTTATAACTTGTGTTATTTAATGAATCAGTCGACTGGCTGCAGTATGGGGTCTGATAACGGTCCAGGAGAAGGGTCTCACGAGACCCTCACATAGGCAGAAAAATGCTCATCATTGGCCAACATCACAGTTTTCCTGTTTCCCACCAAGCTAAAAACTGTTGTTTTTTAATTTTTATAAACTGGAATCCTCTTGCCCGCTCTTACAATTAACTTTCACAAGCATGAAAAATTGTGGCTGTTCCGTATCCTAACAGTACAGTTTTGTCCCATAAATGTTAACACTCATGAACTGTACCCCAGCCTCTCAGTTCTTGAGCATTTTCCCCTTTCAGCAGCGAGGAAAGCTCACACACCGGAAGCCTCGAAAGTCACCTTCAGCCAATGACGGGTTCCAGAAAATGCTGTAAGGCCCTCGGGGGTACTCATTTTTGCATGTGCAAATGTGCTGGTCACCCTTCAAGTACTCCCAGATGGTCAGGAAAACTGTTCTGACGACAAAAATGAGGGGATGGATTTGTAAAGAGTGGTGCTGACTGGTCAGCGGTGGTCCTCGAGGGTGGGTTTGTGTCACGGAGGAAGACAGTTCTGTATCTGCCATGTGAAGAAAACACAATAAAAGTGTGAAGAGCGATTGTCAGACAAACGTGGGAGTGGTCACTTTGGCTCCTGTGCTCTGTCTTCGGTGTTGAGATTTCTGTGTCGATGGGATGGGAGTGGGTCGGGGTCCCTTAGTCCTCTATTCCAGCAATGGGAGAAACCAAAGTTGTCCTGGAAACTCGCCGTGGGAACATCCTACCTGCTGAGCAAAGCTCCTCCACGTTCAGGTCTCCAGCCTGTGACCAGTAAGTGAACATCTTGCTAAGACTACAAAGGCCTCCTGTGATTGCAAATATATTCTTTTCTTTAGAAAGCTTTATTAAGATCTAATTCACATACCATGCAATTTGCCAACTTAAGTGTGCAAATCAGTGGTTTTCAGTATATTCAACAGGGTTGTGCAGCATTATCGCAATCAAGTTTAGAATCTTTTCATCACCCAAAGAGAAACCCCGTGCCCATTATGCATTCACTCCCTGTTTTTCCCCAAATGCCTAGCCCAAGGCAACCTCAAGTCTAGTTTCTGTCCTTATAGATTTGTCTATTCTGTATATTTCATATAAATGGAACCATATCATATGTGATCTTCTGAGACCAGCCTCTTTTACTTAGTGTAATGGTTTTAAGGTTCATCCAGTTTGCAGCATGTGATCAGAACTCTGTTCCTTTTTATGGTCATTCTATTGTATGGATATACCATGTTTCATTCATCCTTTCTTCATCTGATGGACTTTTGGGTTGTTTCCACTTTCGGCTATTAAGAATGATGCTGCTATGAACATTCATGTAAAAGTTTTTGGGTGGACTTAGGTTTTCTTGGGTATGTAGCTAGGAGGGAATTGGTGGGTCATATGGTAACTCTATAGTTAACATTTCAAAAACTGCCAAACTATTTTCCAAAGTGGCTGCACTATTTCACATTCCCACCAGCAGTGTACGTGGATCCCAATTTCTCCACATCTTTGCCAGCATTTGTCACTGTCTTTTTTATTTTAGCCGTCCTAGTGGATGTGAGTGCAACAAATTCACTGGAAGGGCTAACCATCCATCTGATCACACATCCTGGCAGAGTAAGACTCTAGGGCCTTGAGAGGATGGGGACGAGGACAGGTGGACTTTGATGGGAACTGAGAGACAACAAGCTTTCTCTTGGGTGGGAGGGACAATGACAGGGCAGGTGGCAGGAGGCCCCAGAATGGTTTTTGGCCACATCCAGATATTGCAGAAGGGAAGGAGGAGGAGCTCAAAGTTCTGTCTTTTCACTTTTTTAAAAAAGGAGATGTGATATGTTAGGGTTCTCCAGAGAAACAGAATCAATAGCAAATATAGGATATATATGTATATGTATATATATGTGTGTGTGTGTATATATATAAAGGCTATTCATTATGAGGAATTGGCTCACATAACTATGGAGGCCGAGAAGTCCCGAGATCTGCCATCTGAAAGCTGCAGGACAAGAAAGCCAGTGGTGTCATTCAGTCTGAGTCCAAAGACCCGAGAACCAGGGGAGCTGATGGTTTAAATCCCAGTCCAAGGGCAGGAGGAGATAAGATGTCCCAGCTCAACAATGAGGCAGGAAAAAGAGGGGGTCTTACTCCTTCCCCCACCTTTTGTTCTGTTTAGGTCCTCGATGGTTTGGGCGATGCCCACCATACTGAATCCACAGATTCAAATGCTAGTGTCATCTGGAAACACCCCCACACCCAGAAATAATGTTCACTCTGGGCACCCATGGCCCACTCAAGTTGACACATAAAGTTCACCATCACACGTGACTTCCCACTCTTTGGAGGAAACTCGTCTAGAAAGCAAAGTGGAACCTCCTAATGAGGGGAAATCCATGCATTCAGCTCATCAGCCTTGGTTGGCCTGTAGTCTGGGTGTGCAGAGATGAATTTCACACAGGCCTTGCTATGGGGGCTCACGATGGTGATGGAAGGGGGAGGCAGGGACAGTAGATGGAGGAGAAAGACAATTTCAGGGAATGAAAAGGGCTGGTGTAAAGGCCTTGAGAAATTAGAGGTGAGACCCCAAATCCAGCCTGAGGCATCAGGGAAGGCTTCCAGGAGGAGGAGGGGACACGCGACTCTTGCAGACCCTGATCAGGTCTCACCTAATCTCTACGTTGGGACAAAGATTCATGAAGGGAAGAGAAGTTTTCTTAGTATCACAAGTAGCCTGGAATTAAGATGGAAATAATCACATCTGTTTAGGGACTACTTTTTGGCCCAGCAGATACTCTCACATACATAATCCCATCTCATTCTTCTAGCAAGCTTCGAGGTGGGCGGGACAGGTCTAATGTCTCTTCTACACAGATGGAGCTCAGTGAGCCAGGTGACTCATCCAGGTCACACCTGCTCGGCGTCCAACTCCAAGCCTGGGCTGCTGTTCCCAGGCACACCTGCTGAGCACTGCCAAGTGCCCAGCATTCCCTGCACATTCCGTCCATCTCACAGCACCCCAACAGAGCCACCTCTCGACAGCCACCTCACAGATGAAGAATCTGAGGCTCAGAGACGTTAAACAATTTGGCCAGGGTCACACAACCGGTAGATGTGGGCCGGGAATCAGACACAGGTCTTTCAGGGCCCAAAGGCCAGTATTTCCTACTCACTCGTCCCTGCCCTCACTGCAGCTTCTACTGCTGCCCTATCGGTTCCTCCTGACCTCCAGCTACATTGCAGGTGGAAACATTACAACAGAGGTCACTCCCCAAGCCCTAGGATACAGCAATTAGCTGCTGGACTTTTGTTCCACCCCAGACTTGTTTGGAGCACCAGCCCCAGCTTAAATCCTAGCTGCACTCCTTGCTGGCTGTATGACCTTAGGCTGCCAGTGACCTCAGCTTGGTACCTTGTTTGTACAAGGGGACGATAATTGTATCTACCTTTCTGTGTGCTTGTGAGGATATAAATTAGATAGGATATATATTAGCGTCTCCCTAGGGTGAGTTAACTACCTCCTTCTGGGATCACCTGTCTTATTGTTAAAGGAGAGATTCTTGGTCTCCACCCCCACATCTATTGAATCAGAGTGAGGGGGTGAGGGACTGGGCCACCTGTGTTGTCAACAAGCTCGGCATAATCCATCAAGCATAACCCGCTAAGTTTGAGGATGATGGCCATCGCAATTATTAAAAATAAACATTCCCAGCCTCAGCCAGACCACCAAATCAGGGTTGCCACAGGGACCTCTGGAGTTAGCATGAAATACATCTCTGGTGATCTTTTGAGCATCAGGCTGTGCCTGGCACTGGGTCACTACTAGCAGAGGAGAGACTGGCTCCAAAAACGCACACTTTCCAGATGCTTCCCAGAGTCTGTTAAACCTGGCCACCTGTCTCCAATGGAGAAACAAGAGGAGAGCAACACTGGGGTCAAGGAACCCCCACAGACCTCTGTGGCAGCAGCACGCAGGATGAGGTGTGCCTCGACTTCCCCTGGACAATTTAGAGAGAACCCAGTGGGGATTGCAGGAGAGAATCTAGTACTTTGGTGAGGTTTGGGTTTTAGCAAACTGTTGAGTGACCCGAACCGTATAGGTGTACACCAAGGGAACCAGAGGAGCTGATGCTTGCTGTTTACCAAACACAACATTGACTGTGGCTGGGAGGTCTGTGTGTCTCCCTGGGCACTGTAGGTGGGACCCAGGCCAAGGGGGATCCAGCAGCTCACCTGGGGCTGTGATGCTGCCTCTTGCCAGAAGATGGGGGTCCTCCCTCGAGTCGAGGCTCCACGATGTCTGGCCTTTACCCAGGAGCAGGGCCAGTGGGTGAACCCAGTGCTCCTGGTTCAGCTGAAGTCAAAAGGAGCCTTGGGCCACAGAGCCACTCAGCTGAGGGGGTGAGAGCAGGTCTGCAAGGAGACTCCCTTTCAGGATCATGTCCCTGAGCTCCCTGCTCCAAAGAGGGAGGCTTGGGATCCCCTCAGGTGTGAGGTAAAGGGAGAGATGCAGTGGTCTGGGATGAACTGCCCAGCTCTCTCTGAGCCACTGGGTCCTGCGGATGGGAGTCCACCAGACTGGAGGAGCAGATGCTCGAAATGCCCCCACAGCTTTGCTGGCCATGGTTCAGCTGGGAAGACAGAATTGCTGACCCCAAGCTACAGGAAACGTGTGCTGCAAGAGGGGAGCCTGGCCCACAGTCTGCCCCTCTGTTACAGTAGACTGGTGGGGAGGGAACAGGGGTCCAGAAGGGTGTGGCTGAGGCACCCAGCCCAGTGGGAAAAGGACCCTGCAGCCTGTCCTGAATGGATGGAGTGCAGAGTGAATCTCCTACTTCAGCAACAGGTTGCAAGATAAAGGCAGGTTTGCCGATAAGGAGAGGCAGGTGAAAGGCCATGCCTGGTCATGTGACTTACTAATCAGTTGACTTCAAAGCAAGGCCTGGGGGTGAGGACTGGGGGCTGGTACGAGTCAACACTTGCACGAATCTGAGATTGAGGGTCTTAAATTCTGCACCCTAAATGCCTTTCTCATCTCCCCTTAGACCTGGCAGCTTAGGATGCTGAGTTTCTCTGGACTGTGTGTACATCTCTGAATCTGATCATGTCATTCTAAAAACCCTCCAAACTCTTCTCATGAACTTAGAATAAAATTTAACTCCTCTCTCTGGTTCAGAAGCCCATCTGGCTCTAGCCTCACCTTGCACATCCCTGTCCTTCACCTCCCCCTCTCTGTCTTTCTGTTCCCAGACTACATAAGCTCTTTTCTGCCACAGGCCTTTTGCACAGACTAACTCCTCTACCTGCGATGACTTTCCCCTCAATAGTCACGGGGCTCTCAGCTTAAACGTCATCTCCTCAGACTTCTGCCCTGATGGCTCTGTCATTTGGGCCTGATAGTTCTATTCTTCACACTTATTACTAACTGAGATTTTCTAGTCTCAGTCCCACGGGAGAAGAGGGACCTTATCTGTCTGGTTCAGTGCTGTATTCCAGTGCAGGTGGTAGCACCCAGCACCAAGTAGGTCCTCAGGATTCAATATGGGAGGCACTGAGAGTTTTATCTGGGGGATTGTGACCTTGAAGGAGCCCTTGCTGA